CTGGGGGGGGGGGGGAATCTTGGAATAAAATTAGTCATAGACTACCAAAAAATGAATATGCTTTCAGAAGCCTTTAGTTTTTATGGCATGAAACAGTTTCTGGAGTGACCTTATTTCTTGGCATTAATTGTTACTGACTGTCTTTAAGAACCTGCAAGTCAGGTTGGCTGTTTATGTTTTCCTGTTTTCTGGGCCTTACGTAAGTAGGCACAGAGTAGTATCTTTTGACAAAAAGTATATGTTTCTCTTGATGTGTTTACTTAGTGCCATTTTATTTTATTTTAAAGTTGAAAATTATTGGGGAGTGGTACTTCAGCATTTGTCATTCATATCTCCCCCAACTTTACATTGCAAAAATGTAAAGGAAACAAATTTCAACTTGCCTCCTGTTTAAATTGTCACTAAGAATACTGTATTACAGTTTCTTAGCCTCACTTGGTCTAATTTAGTCAACGAAATGAATATGGGAGCAATGCCTCAAGTAGTACTGAAGAAATTACCTCTGAGAATTTTTGGCACACCCATCAAACAGAATCATTCCCTTGCATGTTGGCACAGACTTTATGTATGTGCTCTAGTATAAGCATATGTCACCTGGCTGGCTTTCTCTGTCCATCTACCTCAACTTTCTTGGTTCATGAATTTTTATTTTCTAAGGAATAAAAGCAGTATGTGGCACATGATAAATACTTAATTGAAAAAGTACTATTGGTCCTTAGTGTTACCATACACCTGTCTTCTAACGGGGAATAACCTCTCATCCCCTTTCCTCCTAGGTATGTAGCACAATGCTATTACACTGAATAGACACTTTTGAATTATTAAATTGCTTTGGAAAAGAAACCTAGAAAATTGAATTCCTTTTCTGAGTATCTTAAATTGGGTGAGGAACCTTTTTTTTCTGCCAGGGGCCATTTAAAACATCATTCCAGGGCCGTACAAGTTACCAACTTAAAAATAAAACATCATTCCAGGGCCGTACAAGTTACCAACTTAAAAATTAGCCTATATTTGGTCAAACATTTAACTTACCCCTAATCCCTTAGCAGGGCCAGACCAAATGATTTTTCGGGTCAAACTTGTTCCCCACCTGTCTTAAATAAAGAACCAGTAAATGTAGGTCTCAATTTTAAGTTGGGACTAAATCCCTATACAAGTTATACTTACTGTGCAATAGAACTAAATATTTAGAACATTTTCCATATTGTGACCTAGAGTGTTTCTAATTTTTTTTGAAGACATTAAAAAATTTTTTTGTATCACTAATTCTTGGCCACAGTACCATTGTATCTAACTTAAGCTAGACTATAGAGATGTGTTTTCTTGTCAAATGGAGTTCTTTAAAATTCTGTTTGGATTTGTCCTCCATCTCCATTTGCCATATCAGCATCCTTGTCTGTGCATCCAAATTTATTACTAAAATGTCTTACCTTATTTCACTGACTCCAGTCTCTATCCTGGCCATTAAGTCTGATCTTCCTAAAACATGTCACTTCACCTAATATGAACCAGTGGTTTATAGTCTACTTTTAAATTTATCACTATTCTCAATCACATCTTCCCCTGCTCTGATTGATCTGGCAAATACTGACCATGCTTGTTTTTGCTTCTGTGTACTTACGTTTTCAGACTTCTTCCTTCCCCCCACTTTAGCAGTCACCTGCAGCTTTAAATCCTGGTCATCCTCAAAGTTCATTTCTGCAACTATGAAAAATAAGCTGCTAAACCCAAATAATAGCTGTCTTCTCTGATGCATTTAGTCTCACAATTTATTACTGTGGAATGTTTTGTGTTAATTTTTCATGCCCTATGGAATTTTTGTAATATTTGTATTTCCCAATGAGCCAAATGCAATGCTATCAGTTTAATAAATGTTGATTGAACAAGATGGAAAGAACTTAGTACTTCTTAAAGCAAAGCACTGTAGAGAAGCCCATCTCACAAACTATTGGTTAACTGGATGGATTATTGGAGAAAAATTTTAATTCTAACATTGCCTAAGATAATTTCTCCTTAGTGAGGAAATGCAAATTAATTTAAATGCTAACCTAAGCCAAGTATAATTGGAAAAGAGCTCCCCCAAAAAACAGTCTTGCAAAGTTAAAAATAAAGTTTTGCTGCACAAAGTGCATACTTTGAGTATAGATCAAGAATTGATGCCATTGTTTTGTAAAAGAATAGTTCCCTTTTTTTAAATTGATTTTTCACAGAGAGGAAGGGAGAAGGATAGAGAGCTAGAAACATCGATAAGAGAAACATCAATCAGCTGCCTCCTGCACACTTCCTACTGGGGATGTGCCCGCAACCAAGGTACATGCCCTTGACTGGATTCGAACCCGGGACCCTTCAGTCCGCAGGCTGACACTCTATCCACTGAGCCAAACCGGTTAAGGCGAGTAGTTCCTTTTTAAAAAATACGTTGTTACTGGTTTCAGAGAAAAAGGAAGAGGGAGAGAGAGGGCGGAATATCAATGATAGAGATTCATGGATTAGCTGCCTCCTGCATGCCCCACACTGGGGATTGAGCCCACATGTGCCCTGACAGGAATTGAACCAACAGTGTCCTCCTGGTTCATAAGTCAACCCTCAACCACTGAACCACACCAGCCCGGCAATAGTTCCTTTTTTTGCTGTTTCCTCCTGGGTCTCCTTTTCCCATCATTCTTAAGCTTAATTATTACAGAACAAAGTCTTAAATCACTTCTGAATTCAGTGGTCCTGTCACTGAGGGTTCCTGCAGATTTCTCAATGTGATTGTATCATTTTGGTTCTTTTTTTTAATGAGTTACTCCATAAAGGGATTCAGATATAAAGATTTACATAGACTGAAGAAACCAGATGATATATTGTTCCAGGCCAGGAACCCTGATTTTTAGGCTTATAGAGGAACTAGCT